GCTGTTCTTCCTGGTGACTACTGCCTCTTCCTAAGTCCGTAGTATGCTACCTAGCACTGTCCGTCTCTTGCAGTGGATCTATAGGGGCCGCCTCCTAGGGTGATCTCCCCTGCTATAATCCGGCGTCTATACTTTCTATCTAGTTGGTCGGGTATAGCCTCTAGTCCCGAGGTTATAGGTGGCCACCTCCCTTCTAACTAATATCTAGGTTATAATCTTAATGCTATGGGCGTCCAAGGATTATATCCTTCCTAAGCCCTATTTCAACAATGTTAAATACCACCTTAGTAGTTTTCCCTTCTACTATGATTATAAATAGTTCTGTTTCTTATCGGACCTATTAGGTATCGAATAGTCCTTTAATAATATATTGTTTCTTCTTAATCCTCTATAAGATCCTAAGTCGGTTGACAAGTGCTGGCGAGATAAGGTCGATCTAAGATCCTCTATCTACCAATGCCAATGTTTGGAATCCTTTCTAGTATACTATAACCTAGATTCTATCATCTAGTTTGTTATTCTGAATCGTAGCGGCTTCCTTTTCGCTCGCTAGGAGGTTGTAGATCCTTTTTCTTGCGTGGTTCTTCCTGCACCCGCGGATCTATCGTCGTTGTAATGGATTTAGTGGTTTCCGGGCCCCTTAGAGGGCCCTGAGCCGTTTCCTAACTCCGTCCTAGCATCTAGATAGGCGTCCCTATCCTCCTATACCTCTTGGTTACCATCCTATAGTCCAAGTCTCGGGAGTTTATTAAATAACTATCGAATTTCATTGGCTCTTCTTCCTTCCTCTTGCTGTTTGCGAGGCGTTATCTATCTTCGTATATATATCTTACGTTCGTGGTGTTCTTAGAGCTTTATTTATATATAGATTAAGCAATCCTGGCTCTTATACTATCAAGTGCTATTGGGCCACTGCTAGTAGTCTTTTAGCTGGGTTCTTTATAATATCGCCCTGATTCTATTATATATATTAGTCCTCTCGACCTTCTATAGGAACTGGTCGGTGCCGGTCCCTATATCCTAAACCTATAAGACTGGTCGAGGTTCTCCGTTTCGGTTAGTAGGCCTATCGGGCCAAAAGTCATTATCGAGTTTTAATCGGAAGTAGTATCGGCATTTGTATATAATGTACTAGAACTATAGGACGTAGATGTAGTTGTATCGCTAGGGTTGGAGTCGGAGTGTGTCTTATTTATAGGGTTCGTAATACGGGCCAAATCCAATCTAGATATGTATCGCATTGCTATCTCTAACGCCGTTATATGGCTTCTTATTCCAAAAAGTGTCCTAATCTTATAGTTCCTACCCCTTAAGCCTTTGCTGGTTCTAGGCCTTCTGGTATTCAGCCTTAGGGTTCTTGATTCTACTATTTCTCCTGTCCTAGCCTTGGTCCTATGCTAGTCTATCCTATAAGTTTAAGTAGTGCTTTTCCTAGTCCCTGACTAGCTTGGCCTTAATAAATTCTAGCTGGCTTATAGCCTGAGCCTTTTCTTCCACAAGTCTCCGGGTAACTGTTCGAAGCTTGGCTTATTCTTCCTCGGCCTCCTGGAGGCGCTAAACAATAAAGATAGGGTTCGGGCCAATGGGTTTATCGCCCGATTGTTGTATCCTCTATTAACCTTCTTTGTTCTAGGTCAACTGGAATCCCTAATTTTCTACGAGTTGTAATACTATAGCTACGGCAATATTATAGCCTATAATAGGCTCTTTAAATATGATATAGGGGCTGTTGCTTCCTGACTAAGAGGAGTCGTTGATACTTCCTTTAGCTATGCCCTGGTCGACTACGTCGTTGAAGTCATCCTTAGTATAGCTTATTACAGCTATTTTAACCATACGGGTTAACTTATCGATTATAGCGTTTTCCTTGCCGGGCACCTGTTTCCAGTTCTTCTTGCTACGGCACTCCTGCTTAAAGTGTCCTTTCTTGCCACAGTTGAAATAGGTGGCCTGGGACTTGTCCTTCTGTCCCTTGTCTTTACACTAGGTGGCGTCTATATCCATCGGTCCAGCGTAGGTACTATATAATGTACTAGGATATTATCGCTTTTTCTTATTATTGGCCTTGACAAATATAGGCTATATTCTACGTCCCTTATACTGCTGGCGTCTAGTGTAAATCCGGTCGTCGATACGGATAGCCATGGCGATATATTTATCAAGTGTATCGGGTCGGTCTTTCTAGTATAGTTTATCCTTGACTTCTTCCTTCAAGCTATTATAGAATAATTATATAAGACCTTCGTCGTTGATTTCGTACCAAAGTGAATCCTAGCGGAACTATATAGCGTAGGTAGCCGCCGACTTTATCTACCTTAGGTATATAAGTCGCTCCTATATATGGAGCTTCTTATTATAGTCTCTAAATACCTTCTGGATTTCCTATTTAAATTTGTCATACAATTTAAAAATTTTAATGGTAAAGTCGTCCTAAGCATCCGTACTATTAGTTAGCCAATCCTTAAAGGTAGGTTTAAATCATCGAAGTACCTTCCCCTCAAGTCGCGAGGAGATAAACATAACTTTGGTAGATTTATCTGTAAACTTATCCGGGTAATACTTGAGATAGGCCCTTATAGATATAAGAAATCCAATAAGTCCCTCCTTATCGCCTCTATATTTAGGGGGTGCTTCGAGTTTGGCCTTATCCTTAGGCTTGCCGTTATAGGCCTCGTTGACGAGCTGCTATATATAGCTATTTTCGGCCTTAAGCTGGGCGATTTTGGCGTTGAGAGCCTCGAGAGCCTGCTATATCTATTATATAGTTGCGGCCTGGCTCTGAGATTCTAAGGTGCTAGGTGTCTAGGGCGCCATGATAGTTGGTAGTACCTTTAATCTAAACCGTGACAGAGTCAAAGGGAGTGAGCAATGTATGACGAAACTATAGGTAGTCCTGCCTTTGAAAGGGTTCGCCGGTCGAAGGTATCTGCTAGTCGGACTATAGGTCTCGGTAAAGCTAAAAGGTTCATAACAATACAAGTCGCAATGTCTATATAGTAATATAGGGCTACCTTACTGCTTATATTGCTTACTAGAGAACTCCTAGAGTCCTCCTTAACGAATGACTATATACTAGCTATTTCTCCGTGGACGCCCGTGCTCGCCGTCGTCCTCGAGCGTCCATGGTCGCTGGTGCTCGCCAGCGTCCTCGGGCGTCTATATGGTTGCTCTTGGACGCCGTCGTCCACCGGCGTCCATGTGGGGCATCCGGCGGCCTTACGCGTCCTGATTGGTAACCCTGTCACCTGCATAGTCCCACTAGGTCGGGTTATATGGTTGGTTCGTAACACTAAGGCGCTATATAGTAGTCGAAGTGCTTGATCCAATCAAGGCCTACCGCATTGGTAGTCTAGCCATTCTCGGTGGTTGCAATATACTAGTCGGCTAGGAGGTTGCACTCTTGATACCAGTTGGCGAGGTAGTACTACGCGGCTAAGATGATGAATGGAGGGATAGCCTAGCCAAGGGCATTGACGCCTTGAATTACCGTCACCTATTCGCGGTTGCCAGGCTAGGCTAGCTTCGCCTTGCCACGGCCATCCGAGGTTGTAACTACTATACCCGGGAAGATAATGCCTATTATAAACCCAGTCTTATCGAAGTTATAGATATCATCATCTACAATGCCGTACTTGGCCTTAATATTCCGTATAAGGGCAAACCATTCGCCAATAACCTTCGGATCCTCATACTTGGCCCTCTGGTAGTCGTATCTATACGTATAACACGTCCAGAGCTCTAGCTGGCATTTGACAAAGTTATACGCCCAGAGCTTGCCGATAGGGGGCGCGTCGTATACGCGTAGTAGTTGGTTGGCCATATCTTCTATACCACGCAGTCTCGGCGGAAAAGCTCGCTTAGATAGCTCAATTATATACTGAACAAGAGCCTTCTCTTCGGAATCGGTAAGCCGGCGCGAGTTGGGCGTAGTGTCGCGTCGTGCAGGCCGGCCCGCTAGTCGGTCTTGTAAGGTTGTTCGTCGAACGTCGTAGTACTTTGCTGTAGCCCTTATGCTTAGTTTTTGGTCTTTTTGTATCGCTTCGAGGGCTAGGTTTATCCTAGCCTTGTACGAAGAAGAAGACATGTTAGGTTGTAAAGAAAATCTGGTTTTAAGCGCGGAAGTGACGCGTCGCGGGTAAAGTGGCCGGCTCGCTTATATGGCCGGCTCGCTTATAAGATACGTTATATATATATAACTTTCGCTATATACCTACGTTAATACGGATTATAAATATACAATATCTATAACGTACTTATATAGCGAGTGGGCCACTTTCGTTCAACCTTAGTTACTTTATAAAAGTCAATTCGACCACAACACCTTAAATCAATTAAAACTACTCGGAGTCGCTATCCTCAGACGTCTCGCAAACTACCTGACAGGTTCGCGTATTGTGGCCAGGCTTTTTGTAGTTGCTATAGAGCCGAACGCCTGTGGGAAATATAAATGTAATTCATCCTCCCAAAACACGGCTTGATACTACAACACATCCGGGCCCACCGCAAAGGAAGTTTCATGGGGATGACTGGATTGGCATTGAACCAACTGCTGCCTCAGTGGTGGCGTCGATGTGTGGAACTTAAGGTAGTTCACCTAGTATCCTAGCATGCCAGACCGTGGTTTGAAGTCCGGAAATCTTGTGAGAAATGAATGGATTTCCCGAGCCCTGCTCAAGCTTCTACCCAAGGCTAGTAAATGAGAGGCGCCAGAAGCACTAGTTACATGAAGTCCAGCTCCAATGGAAGTGCAATTAAAACCAAAAACGCCAAACGCCTTCCCAATGGTTTACTTGACCCAGATGGTCCAGCCATCCTGGCAGTGTGGCGTGAAGCGTCGGAACCTTCGAGCGCTGCGTAAGGTACCTGACCTTAAGCGAGTTACGGATCCTCGTCCAAATCTGCGTCAACATCGATAGCAGGTTGTAGCACTTTCAATCCTTTCCAAACACACCCAAACGCGGTCTTGACCGGCATCTCCAGGCTTTCGAAGCTTAAGGTAACTAAGCAGCCACTTGTACGGTTGGTGTCTTTGGGAGGAACTTTGGTGTCTTTGGGACCTTGGGCAATGCTGTTTTGGGGGAAGGCGCAACAGCATCGCCTTGCTGGAATTGGGTGGTGATACGAGGAAGTGTTGGTTTCTTCTGAGCAGAAGATGCAACACGCTGCAGGTTGACTGGTATCTTCGCAACACCCTGTGGGTTGTCTGAGTTCTTCTGCCCAGCAGGTGCAGCACTTTGCGGGTTGGCTGGCTTCCTATGGCCAGCAGGAGGTGCGGGACCCTGTGGCTTGGCTGGCTTCGTCTGCTGGGGTGCAGCACCCTGCGCGTTGACTGCTTTCTGCTGACCAGCAGGAAGTGCAACAGCCGGCGGGTTGGCTGGTTTCTTCTGAGCAGGAGATGCAATACCATGTGGTTGGTTGGCGGCTGCATGCGGGAGAGTCTTCAGGTTCGGACCGGTACCAGCAGCGCCCTGCTGGGACTGCACCGACTGCTTCTTGGCGCCGTTTTGGTGAGATGCAGCAACCTTTTGCTGCGGTACAGCGACCTGTTGCTGCTGCTGCTGCTGCTGCTGGGCTTTGGCAGGAGCAGCGCCGGCGGCTGGCTTGACTTGGAGAACATCATCAGGCCCGCTCGAACCCCGAGCCGCGAGAGTCAACTTTTTGAGAGAGCCAAGCGCAGAGTCCATCTCGCGCTTACTAACACGGCGTTGAGAGCGAGGCCGGACGGGCGTGCTGCCCGGCCGCTTCATGTTGCCGGTCATGTTCGCAGCCGCAGCCCCAGAGTGTTTATGACCCTGTTGGACAGAGGCACCGGCCTCTTGGGTGTAAACTTGGTTGTAGACGTCCCAGTTCACGTCAGAGGGCAAAGAGCCGTAGTCCGATGATGGCTGATAGTAGCCGCTGGCGGGGTGGTCGCCGCCGCCGCCGCCGCTGCCCTCGCCACCTCCGCCAGTCCAGCCGGGTGGATATTGCGGCAACTCAGGCTCGGGTGTGGCCTCCTTGGGCGGGATAATACCGACACGCCACTGGATGCCCCTCCTGTCCAGAACCGCCTGGCAGCAAGGTTTCTTGGAGTTCGGGCGGCCCTCGGGGTTGGGTCCGCACGGCCACACCTGACCCGGCTCGGTTGGGTCGGAGTTTGTATCAATGTCGTAAACCGGGCGACGAGCCTGATCAAAGACCGGTCTACCGCGCCGGTCACGTCTCTGGACAATCCTGGGCTGAACGCCGAAGATGACAATGTAAAATGAGCCGTCAACCCAGCTTCGTTCCTGGCCCCACGGAGAGTCGAGCGAGTTCTCCATCATGTTGCCAACCACGTCCTCGACGTGGACATTACCATCTTTGGGACCCTGGACGGACACGTACTTCCCAGTCTTTTTCCCTTTCTTCTCTTCCTCGATCCAGTACCGCAGTGTTGTCTCCACCCTCGGTGACCGCCGTTTGCCAGCTCAGTTCGCCTCCGCCCTCTGGGAATGGAACCAAGCCAGAGCGCGCTCTTGATCGTCGGGTCGAGTGCGTAGTTGCCCTGCGCGTCCACCAGCGGGTTGTTGTTCTCGTCCACCAGGATCTCTTGGTACCAACCTACCAGAGCCGCCGCGAGACAGCTTTTATTGCCGGTAAGGGCATGTCGATTCGTGGCGCGGACCCTGTTGTAGAAGTATTCTGCGTATCTGAGTGCTTCTGGCCATTCCACTTGCCATGGGAAATTGCCCGTTCCTTGGTATGTAGCCCTCCTGCCCTCGTCGAATTCGTCAATATTGCTCAAGTACATTAGTGCTGGATTGATCTCGGGCGGAGAAGAGGGCGGGCTGTTCGAGCCTGTCGTTGCGGCCATGCTGACTTAGGTAGGGAGGCTGGCTGCTGAGCTATGTTCTCTAGGTATGTAAAGAGAATCGGCGAGAACGAGAAGAAGGAGGCTGTATCGTCCAGCGATGTCTCGGCAGCGGGTGGGGAGATGCGTCTCGGCCGGCGAGAGGGGTTGATGAACCTCAGGGAGAGAAGGTGAGAAAGATGTGTTTGTTGAGCGGAATAATCTGCGAACTGGGCGGCGGATGCCCTGCCTGGCTTTATACGAGTAGATGTACCGTCCGTCATCCACGGCTGCTGGTCATCGGCTCGACGGTGGCCTGCATGGCTCCGTTCATGGGGGAGGTTGTAAGCGCCGCGGCCCACGGGGTGTGTTAGAGGCGGTAGGGTTCGGCCGCCCGGCCGGTCCACGCCTCCTGAAGGCTCAACCACCTCCTAACCAAGGTACTTGACGTGCGTGTTGCATAAGCCCGTTGCCATAGATACCCGGGTACCTAGAGACCCTCTCAAAGGCCAACTTGGACAGCCTGAACGCGTGTCTCGAACCAACGCTGCGGTGCGGGCGGCCCAGATGCTCCTGGGCGGCCAGATTGGCGCCGTGGTCTCGTCTCGTCTCCGTCCCACATCATGTCGCCCTGCCTTTTCATACACATGCGACAGGCTGCGAGTATGAGGCCCGTACAGGACTGCAGCCAACTGGCACGATTGGGGGCGGCCACAGCGCGTGAATGGAAGCCCCGGTCCGCAAGACCTAAGGTACCTTAGGGAAGAACCTAAAGTCGGTCGTCTCGACCTGTATCTCGAGTTTTGCAGGACCACATTGGGAGTAGGTTCGCTTCGAGGCTGCATACCGGAGTCTCCGAGGGACCTAATGGAAGCGAAGCTTCAATGGCGATACGGTACTCCAGAGTTTACTTGGTATATATAGAGGAAGCCCGGAAGGAATACGCCACTTCATCGACTAAGCCTTTTCGACCAAGTTTCTCAAATAATAGTATTGCGTGGGACAGGCTGAACAACTGAGAGCAACGACGTGATGATGTCTTCTTGTCTTGCTAAGCTATGGGAAAAGGGGGAAATCTCCGCTTGGGAGATGCAGGTCAGAGGTGGGCTGCCTGGAGTGCTCGGGCCAAGTGGCCCACACAACAAATAGTAACTGGTCGCTGTCCTCGCTCATTTCATTGACAGTTGCACCCACTTAGATACTGTACTTAAGACCCGGCTTCCAATTTGATTTGTGTTTTGACTTCTGCTCTCAGTTCTTCAACGCGGAAACTCATCGGAACGCGATTTGAACGGTCGCCAGCCAACAGGCACCAACCATTTCGAATAAACCGTGACGGCGGCTAACAGCCATCGGCCCCCAACGATGATGCGAGGCATCGAGGACCAGCCGCCCCGGCCACCGGCTCTGCTACGGCTGCCTCCTCACCTACGCCATCGCATATATCTTCACATAGGCATAGCCCGCCGTGACGGGCGCCCAAACACATACTACTTGGATGGCCGCAAGGAGTTGCCAGGATTTACGTCGGCCTTTGACCCGCCGCCGACGCGCAACTTCACCGGCCTACTCCGGTCCTGCCGCGACCTGTACACCGAAGTCGCTGCCCTGCTATATTCAGCCAACCAATTCGTTATGCACGCCGGCAAGGCCTCCCTCGAGCCCCTTCAAGCCCTATCGCCAATGGCCATCGCCTCCTTGACGAGCCTCAAGATCGTTCTCAACGAGTGCTCGTGCCACCATCCGGTCGACTCTAGGGACTACCCGCCGCTTTGCTGTTGCGACGACGTCGAGCATGAGCCGGAGCCCAATGGTATCCGCGCCCGGTGCGCCCAGTACCATAGGAGTACGCACCGTCGACCGCTGCTCGATCCTGTCTCGTCGGATCTAGACTCAACTTCCTCCAAGCTAATGGCCCAAGCTCTACTAACTAGCTGGAACGACGCTGCGGTCCACTTGTCGTCCTATGTTCGCCCCGGACGTCTGGCGCTCTCGTTAGTCTGCGATATCAACCATCAGCACGAGTATGCACGAGAGGCTGGCCAGCTAGCCGTTGCCCCGCTTGCCCTCTTCCCGCCCCTTAAAGACTGCCATGTACGGCTTTGCAAACGATGGGACCGCGCACTCCAGCGGCTGGCCGAAAGCGCTGTCCTACAGGCCTGCCCTAAGCCGTCAACTCTTCGCCTTGCACCTACTAGGGCACCATCGGCTCTAGTAAACCTACCGCGCGAGCTACGACTTCTTATTCTCGAGTATACAGACCTGGTAACTCCCTGGAAGGAGGTCACCTGGTGCAGGAGATATCGCCGCTACTACCAAATATGCCGCCCGCCTTGTCTAGCGTCCGAGGGTAGAGGTCAGCCTTGTCAGCCTCACATTCATCATGGTTGCCGGCTAAGCCAATGCCTTGGCGTCGATCTCCCCCCTTCGGGCAGGCCACCACCGGGCCCAGGCTGCTTTTGCCGTCGCCGACACGCTGCCTTCTCCTTCACCTGCAATTGCTGGGCTCCACCAACTAGCATCTTTCTCGTTTGCCACGCCTTATACTACGATGCCCAGCTTATCTTCTTCTCATATAACCGTTTCATCGTTCACGATGTCCAGGCGTGGCCGGGCTGGACCCTAGACTATATAGTCCAGAAACCGCGGGACCCGGAAATCGCCAGCATCGAGGAGTCCTACCCATACGAGCGTCTCGCTGCATCGCATTTCCTCCGAGAATTCGTCCCCGCCAACTGTCTCGCCTACCTCCGCTTCCTCGAGCTTGTCTTTCCGCCCTACTGGCCGTATAGCTGGCCCGTTGATGACCATCCCGCCATAGTAGACTGGCGCGACACGGTTAATTGGCTGCGTGGTAAGATCGACGCACCGGCGCTTACCATCCGTGTCGTCTTTGCCGACTTCCTTCAGAATCCGGCGGGAAGCCGCAGTGGGACGACCAAGGACGAGGGGAAGCAGATTGTGAGAGGCTACATGCACGTTATCCGAGCTTTGGAGCCCCTGCTCAAGCACGACGGTCTGGCGGCGCTATACGTGCAGGCGGCATTCCCTTGGGCATGGGCACGCGACGTCCTCCTCCGACAGCTATTAGAACCGGACGACTGGTGGACCCAGGAGCTGGCTAGGCAGGAGCAACGGCTGAAGGAGCTCTTGGAACGTATACCAGGCTGTGAGGCGATTGTCGATTCACGCAACAAGCCTGAGCCGAGAAGGAGCGCTTGGCAGACCTGGTATAATGTAGACTGGTATGATCAATAAATAACTAGTGACCTAGCGTTTTCCTACTCTAGGCCAGCCCGCGTTATTTGTAGAGCTAGGGGACGCTACCTTGAGGGATTTATACAAGACGCAGCAAGGCTTTGCCAAGCAACATTCGCTTCAACGACTGTGCAAATTAAGGTACCTTACTCATCGCACTGCAGTTAGGACCAGGGGCCTAACCATCCGAGTACATAGTAATTGCGGAAATTGTCGGGGCCTTGGTATTGTGTTAGTGTCCAAATTGCTATGTTCTAACTACGAGCGTACGTCCTCCACTCCCAGTGCCACATAGGGTCATTCGCGCACCGCCGCTAGTCTAGGCAAGATCTAGAGATGGCCCAAGTTCGCATGCGTCAACCCCGATGTCCATGTACCCTTGTGGGTAATCACCTCACTTCGGTATCAGAGCCTCAAGAAACCGACACTTCGGTCTTACGAAACAGAGAAGAGCGAAGGCTTGGACGGTATATAAGGAGGAACTCGTGCTAGGGCATAGAGTAAATAAATAATCTACAGGAGCCCTCGGCCAGTCATTCTATTTATAGGCACCTCCTAAGCATGCACCAACCTGAAAACTCGTCAACTCCTTGCTTAGGATCGTCCTCTCAGCCTTCTTCTATATAATGTTGTCTAACCTTGCTGTCGTTTCCTTCCTGCATAGCGAATTTAGTCTTACTAGCAACAGCTTGAATGCCAAGCTCCGCTATTGTGCTGCCTATTTGTTGACTTGCGGCGTTCTTGTCCCCTGAACGAACAACTTGCTCTAGAACAAGCTTGCGTCCACCTAGATATTTGAACGCTTGAAGGAACGGGATTCGAGTACGCTGTCGCGCTAGTTAGGAACCTAGTGGCACCCTTAGTTGGGCAGCTAGGTCAAATACCGCAATAGGGCTATCTTCGGCGACGATGCAGACACCTTCAATCTAAACAGATGGCTATAAGAGGTCAAGGAAAGAATAATTCCTTTGAATTGGTACTGGCGGCTAGTAAGCCCCCTTACCTAAGCTATCCATCGATTCTCGACTATTGAACACCTCTTAGTTTAGCCTAGGCTCGTGTACCTATATTGGGCGCTCTATTTCTATGTTCGAAATCTGTAAACTAATGCAAAGGTTGGTTCGACTTTGATATAAAACTGTGTGAAGGGAGAAATAACAGACATATGACTATTAGTTTATATAGCCAGAGAATTTTAGGATGTTTGTTTGGCCAAGGGTGGCTCGAGGTTGACTAGGCATGACTCTATGGACCTCGCACTTAGCTAGGGTACCTTACTACCTACCTTTATAGAGAGACTTTAGACTTGAATGCCTTGGTACATTCTCGACTAGATGTAAGTGGATGCTAACCTAGTAATCATCTCCGATAATTACAGCAACGCGACTTCAACGCGCTTTTGGGAGTGACCCCCGAGGCGGAGAGGATGAAGGGGCCGGCCGTGGACCTGGAGCATGGGTAAGGATGTTTCTGTAGATCACCAAGAAACGACTCTGCTAGGTTATGGTTGCTCGGCCCCCAACGGCGCCCTGCTGTATCTCCAAAGCTGGCGCACATACACCGACCGGCTCAATGCCTCGTGACAACTCTCACTTATCCATTGGCTGGAAAAGAAACAGCATAGAAAGACCTTGCTTTCACGGTGTGCCTCCAAACCGCATGATATCAAGGTCTCATGGGAGGTGAGCATTATGGACGAAGGATATCCGGCCTGCCACCATTCACCTTTGACGGCCGACAGAAGCATAAGTTTTGGGGCCCAGGCAATGACACCCTCCCCGAGAGAACCGGATGGATGGGTGCCCGGCTCCGGTCAGCCAGCGTCTTTTCAGATCTGGTCCGGCAGTAGACAAGATGCGACGGGGCCGGCGTAACACAAGCCGTAAGCAAGCCGGCGGCGGCTACCAACGGGCAGCGCCGGACTGGAGTCCGCCAATCTGGAGACGCCGTGTGACACGAACCAAGGGAACAGGATTCCAGAAGCCTTCCCGGCACGCTGCGGTGCGTCGTTGTTAGTACTAGTGAGACGGGAGCAAGGAAGAGGCAGTGTTCGATGCATCTCTTTGTAATTACAGCGTAATACACATGGGACCCGGGTTTCTAGTGGGAGCCACCAGTCTTACAGTTGAGACAGGGGGCACCTGAATTGGCCCAGCCGTCATATCATCACCGCCTCTCCACCGACTTTCATAGTGACTTGGTGCTTTAGGTAAGTTGTGGGGGCACTAACTTATCTTCCTTGGTATCTGCTTGAGGGTCCTCCGACACAAAACTAGGAGAACAGCGTATATTTTACAATCCAACGCGATAGCGTGCAAATGTGTGGGCGTTGGTCGTTTGCGGAGCAGGTGGTGCCAAGCCCAGCTAAGATAGCAGGAGATCTTGACTTTCCTAGCTGCCCTAGGCTTAGATGCCTAGATAGCTGCCTGCGTGCACTGCGTTCACCAAACTGATTCCTAGGAGGCGACGGAACCTTAAAAACACCCACCCGGGTCGTCGCGAGTTGATGAGCTTTTATTCGAACGACATGATCCCGGCCGGAAAGTGAGCCGGCATTCCAGGGTCTTTAGCAGCACAACGTAATTGCGCCGAGCCTCTTGGTCTTCGAAGTTCGCACTCCATTTTGTCTGCTTCCTAACCGCTCAACATTCATGGAAGCACACCCTAGCAATGCTCACCCCTCGTCGGTGAGCATCATGAGTGGAGGAGCGAAAAAGGACCTTTCAGACCCTGCTGGTGAGTCATGACCGATCGTCCCAACAACCAAGACGTGGCTGCTCACAACCCGTCAGTTCGCATACTGGATTGGAACAAGATCCGTCAGTTTCCACACAATTTACCGCTTGCCCTCTCCCTTCCCTCCATCAGAAGCTTTGTCGAACAATAATCACCACCTTATCCAGCATCCGAGACACTGACCTTACCTCCTCCCGGCGCAGATCCCCGCATCATCGACCCCGACAAGGCCTATCTTCGATTCCGCAGCGACTGGCATCTGACAGCCAAGATCATCTTAGGGGAGACGTTGTCCGTCTATACCGCCGACGAGGTACTGCAGGGCGCCAACAAGTTGCTCCAAGAGGCACAGTCGGAGTCGGCGCCTCCCCGCAAGCCGGAGAATTTTGCCCTTGAGAAATTCGCCTTCTACTACGACATTGTGGCGACCATCACCCGTACGCAGGAAGCGCTCATCGACGTAAAGGACGAGACGGACGGCGACTGGATTGTTGTGTCGGCCAAAGCCACAAGCCAGCCTGAACGACGGTAACTACCTTATCCATGCTCAATGAGCAATGGCTGCTAGACGGGTAGGCGTTCGCGAGGGCGACGAGGGGAAGCATGACAAAGGAACAAGGGAGATGGCAATGAATGAAGAATCGTTGTAGGAACACTAGCATCCCGTTAGCCCCGTCTTCACGCTTCGTCAGGTCAACTCATGCCTTTGTCTAATTAGCACCTGGCTCTGCTGATTGCTGTGTTGAGCGCCACTGTCATCCCATTGTCTCATAGCCCGATGAAGCATGTCCTCCGGGGCATTACAAGACACAGCACAAATGAAAACTGAACATTGGTCCCCTGCCATTGAATCCGTCATTGCTACTGAACTGCCTTAGACACCTGGGCTGTTCCCTGGTCACGAATCAGGAGGCGCTCAGTGATGTTGAGCCTGGTGACTGAAGTCTTAAGGTATGACTTCGATGAAAGTCTTGCGCTAATTATTTGGTTCAGACACCTCTGCCTTCACTGGCCGCTTCGCCGTGAATAATAATTATACAGCCCAAATATGCTGGAACCAGCCAGCATTCTCCCTAACCATGATCTCGGCCCCTGGTCTTCAAACTACCGCGGCAGTTCCGCGACGACTCAACTCTCCCAAAGCCCCCGTCTCTGCCCCAAACTTCATGATGCGGTCGTGTAGCTCACCCCGACGCAGCGCCTCGTATATCTCCCCGGCCATGGTGCCGAGGATCCTGGTTCGACCTGCCAGATCCTCGTCCTTCCCGGCAGGTCAAACATGCCCCTTGAGCCCGCCACCCGCGGTTCCATTAACCCTGGGCGCCCCAGACTCCTGGAGCAGCAGTGGAAGATGGTCTTCCACACCCCGGTTGAGCGGGATCTTCAGCTCCTTCCGCACAAAATCGTACACCACCCTGGACGCAGGGCTGATGTACTCGGTGGTCGTTTGATGACGAACAAACTCAGCGCGGAGATCAGCGTAGCATTTCTCGAGCGCGGCAGCCATCCGCATCTGGTACTCCCTCACGCCACCCAACGACACGTCACGCTCCCCTAGACACTCATTTTCGCTGTGGGTTGGGTGCTGGGAACGATAGACGATGTGAGCAGTGGTGTGGCGTTGTGGCTGAGCGGCCCACACTCCCCTTGGACCCACATCATCCATCATCACCAGTTCGGTATATGTGTGGAGAGGGTTCTTTTTTCTTCTTGTTTCCTCTTCGAGGCATAAACTATAGGCGACAGGTAATTTTATACCTAAATTTCTTGATATATTTCTAAGATCTGGAGCTGAGAATTCTAATATCACTTTCTAATTTCTCAAAGTTAAATATTAGTGTAGGCCACACGTGTATTTACTCGAGATACTAGCCTGCCCAGCGACAATTTGCTGCTATATATAGCAAAGCTGTCGCTGTTAGCTTATTTTTAGCAGTTTGCGATAGTAAAGCGGACTATAACATCATTATATTTATCCTTTGCGGATAATCCTAGATCTAAGATCTGAGATCTAAGATCGACTGTGAGAATGGATCCGCGATTAACCTAAGTTCAAGCATTAGCTACAATGTAATATAAAGTATTGCTACGCCGAGGAGGAAGTTGTGGCATTATTCGCTATCCGCAGCCACTAAGCTACAAGTTGCGAAGTCACCGACAAGAATAGCATCAGAGGAATTTCTCCTCGGCCACTGCTAACTACAACTAAGAGATATTGAAATAGACCCCGACTACTGCCGTGACAAGATTAATCTCACAGTAAACCGTCTAAAGCCGATCTTCGAAGATCCAAATAGTTACAATCCCCATTCTGAAAACCACCAATTCCCAATACTCACTACTTAAGTAGAGTTAAGACAGTTGTTGGAGGATTTAGGTCTCTCCTACTCTAGCTTTATAGAGTCGCAGTTGCGCATCCTATATCTTAGACTCACATCCTCTCGTAGCAAGCTTCAATGCATTTATGGAAGATAAAGATATAAAGCAGCTCTTAGTAGTATAAAGCTTAGGCCTAGTACATAGTCGACAGTCAAGCTCTACTATCTACTCTAAGGTGTCGATATATATGCCTTCCTATACAACGAGGTAGAGCATGATCACCACCAGACAAAATACAACTACGGATATATATTTTACACCGTCCTTTACTAGGAGGAGCAAGGTGATCCAGTCCAGGCTCATAGCTATCAGTCGAAGCTCTCACTAGGTGTCACGAGGGCCGTCGTTCACGGCCAGAGTCAAGCCTCTGGTGGTAAACTAACTGCATTGCAAGAATATTGAACTTGCAGAAGGAAAGAAATCCTCGAGACTGCAAGGTAAGCTTTAAATACAGGATGCGAGTAGGTCTAAGCTTGCATGCATGATATAATGGAACATGCATAATGAATCATCACTTGGTATATATGACGAAACCACAGGCAGTCCTGCCTCTGAAAGGGTTCGCCGGTCGAAGGTAACTGCTGGTCGGACTATAGGTCTCGGTGAAGCCAAAAGGTTCACAACAATGCTTGTCGCAATGTCTGTACAATAGGTATGGGCTATTGCTTGTATTGCTCACTGGAGAACTCCCAGAGTCCTCCAGAACGAGTGACTATATACTGGCTATCTTTGGGTGCTCTCATATGCTCTATAGAGCTTCCTAGAGCCCGGTGCTCTATTAACTCCATCGAGAGCTTCCATTTCCTCGCGTTGATTGGCTTAGTTCTTGAAGCTCTCGTCTGCTCTCTAGAGCGCCTTAGAGCTCCTTCTCATTGGTCCTAAATAATTGGTTTGGGTACGCCCTACGCCACCCGTCGGGTTGTCCTACCTGTAGCTGTCCTGTTGGCTTAATTCGTAATACGATATCCCCTCTCCGAGGTCGACGCCTCGGCAACCTTGTTCTTCCTATATTCTGAAATAACGCTAATAGTCCTTAGCTGTAAGTGTTTTTCCTTCTATATCCTCCTATCCTTGCTAGTCATAGCTGACCGTATACGAAAGCGAAAAACTCAAGCCGAGTCAAGTACTTAGCGCCGGTCTCGTCTCGCCGATTTTACTATATCTTCTAGATTCCTAATGCCCAAGTGTTCCTACTACTATAAATACAGGCTCAATTATCAGGTATCTGGCACCTCCAAACGTTATAGTTCCTATAACCGTATAAACCGCCCATCCTATAATATCTAGGGCATCGATCCGGGGATATATAAGTTGGTTTTCGCCGCTGCCCGCCGTTAGTACTAACAGTGCTAGTTCGCTCCTTTATTTCCGAGAAGGATAAGCTTGAGCGTAAGGAGGAGGAGATTTTAGCGAAGCTACTTCGTCTCCGTAAATAGAAGCGTACTTTAAAGGAGAGGGTAAGAAAAGCGGTGTCCTAGGAACTTCGGGACATCTCGGACTTAGAATATAAGGAGCGTGAGGAACGTAAGAAGTACATAGCTACTCCTGTACCTGCTTCGCCAACGCCCCTCGTACCGGATCCTTTCGCAGGGTTTGACTGGTTAGACGCTCCTATAGACTTGGGTACTATTAGGGAGGGTCCTTCTTTCTTGACCGTACAGGGCTCTGGCGGTAGAAGCCCTCTGGTTTCCCAAGGTAATAGGGGTTCGTAGCTGATAGTGGTCAGGTCTTAGTCGCGCCTGCTGTTATATATATTATCTATAGCGTTACTGCCTATAGTCGCTCTTCCCTGCCTAGGGTTCTCAATCTGATTCTTGCTGCCTATTTCCCAACAAATGAAATAGCTTAGTAGTATAGCTTGGTTATTATACCCGAGTAAATACTCTAGGAGATTATAGGTTCGAATCTTATCTATGCTATTGCTGGCTATAGTATAGGATAACGTCGTAGTAGTCGTTACCCAGAATACGGTCAGCTTTTTATGTTTTTCTTTCTTCCTGGCCGATTAGGGTTCTATCGGTAGAACTCCTTTAATTTTTCTATATAGCTAAGGTATTCCGCTAGCTCCTATAAGTTATCTTCTAGTCTGAAGTCGAGCTATTTAATCAAGTATTCTAGCCTTCTATTAGCTATTTGCAAGTCTAAGATTTCCTTAATGTCCTATTCTTCTTCTTCGTCCTCGGCCTCGATGTTCTTTATAAGCCATATATTCTTAGGTGCTAGTTCAAGGAGCGAGATATAGAAGACGTTAATATATAGCTTCATTATAGATAATAACGAAAATCAATAGTTGGATGTCAAAATTTTTGCGTCGATTTTGAACGGTCTAATCTTCCTAAAGTCGAGTTTTTGACTTGGCCGTTTTATTTTTAAATTCCGAGAAACAAGGTAGACTATATCTCCCTTTTTAAGGCAAGGTCCCTCAAGCCAATGCTTATCGTAGTACTCCTTCATCCTAAGCCTAACGAACTCGAGTTCTTCTTTTAGTATTGTATATAGTATATATATTTTCTCTATCTTGACTTTTGCCCTAGGTACTATAATATCTAGTCCTTGGCGTAAATCTGCTTTATAACTAAAGTTCGCGAAGAATAGAGTAACCTTTATTATCTCCGTTGGCGTTATATTATATATAAGCTATGCCGCTGGTAATAGATCAACCTAGTTATTCTATTGGAAGTTGACAAACGTCCTAAGGTATTATTCGACAATCTGGTTAAGTCTTTCCGTCTAGCTATCTGTCTACGGGTGGTATACTATTAAAAGCTTGCTTTTCATGCCTAATCGCTTTATAAGCGCTTGCCAAAACTTTAATACGAACTTAGTATCTCAATCTATAATCTATTCTTCTAGCTATCCATGAACTGCTACGATATACCGGTAGATCGTATCTATAAGTTGCTCTACTAACTACGATTCTTTGTATAGGAAGAAGTAGCTCTACTTAGTAAGTCGGTCAACCATAGTAAGGATGCTATCGTACTCCGTTCCAGTAGTTGAATCCTTCGAGAGTAGTAGCTTGGTAATAAAGTCCATCGTCACCGAACTCTATGGTCGTTCTATAACTGGCAATGGCTCCAAGAGCCCGTATAGTTTATGGCGTACCGATTTACTTTGATTATAGAGATTGTATTCTTATATAATAGTCTTGACTCTGGCCCTAAGTCCTGGGAAGTCATAGTATTGCCGAACCTTGGCGATTGTTTTGGCGATTCCCATATGTCCTCCGAGTTTCAACTCGTAGATTGTCTTGATCAGTTCTGTCTAATCCTACGGTGCAACGTAGGCTTTGCCATTATACTATAACGCTCTATCTCTCCAAGAGATACCTACCTTATCGTCTATATCGTTCTGCTTCCGGTCTTGGAAGTCTTTTCCTAGCCGTTCTTCCCTAAAGACTATATAATATTCTTCAAGCGGTTATAGAGGTTATATATTAGGATCTTCATCCTATTATAGAAGTATATCGTCATCGAGATCTTCTATCGGTTAGGGAGCATACTATAAGGAACCATCTGGCTATTGTTGAAGTAATGGTGGCGAGGCTTCTAGTTGGCTATTCCTGAAGTGATCTGGCCTCCTGCTTAACGCATCTGCTTATACGTTTTCCAAGTCTTTCTTATAATTGATTTTGAAGTTGAACTCTAAAAGGAATTCTACCTATCGAGTCTGTCGTCCATTCAACACCTTGGTGGTAGTAAAGTACCGTAAGTTCTTATAGTCTATATAGACCTGAACTTTATAGGTTATACCGCTAAGGTATAGTCTCTATTCTTGAAAAGCTTCGATGATAGCTAGTAGCTCTTTGTCGTAGATTAGGTAGTTAAGCTATGATCCTTCGAGCTTCTTTAAAAAGAATACGACTAGGTATAATTTCCCGTGTTTATCATACTAACCGAGTTGTCCTCTAATCGTATAGTCTAATATATTGGTTTCAACCTTAAATGGCTTCTATAGGTCTAGTAACTAAAGCACCGAATCGGCGACGATCGCATCGCGAATCTTCTAAAATGCTTATTTATGTTCAGCTTCCTACCGGAACTTGATGTCTTTTTTTATAAGTTCGTACAATGGTTATATAAGGTCGCCAAAGTTCCTGATAAACATTCGGTAGAAATTAGCAAATCCGATAAATCCTTATACCTCTATTATTATTATTGGTCGTGGCCACTTCTTGATCGCTTTAATCTTCGCTGGCTCTATCCTGATTCTACCAGGCGAAATTTCGTATCTAAGAAATACTGTTTTCGTAACATAGAATTCGCTCTTATCCTTGTTAACTAATAG